TGTTTATTTTTCACTATTCACACAGTACTTGTATTAAATAAACAAAGAACAATCGCTCTGCAAATAAAAGTACTTAGGTGGGGAGTGAAGGAAGAGGAACTGGGGCTCGAGCGCCCCTGCCTCTCTCCCCCTACCCTCTAACATCACTCACCCCCCACCCCCACTCCACTTTCTCTCCTCATTCTTTCTCCTTTCTCTCAAGCCAGAAGGTTCTATGCGGGAATCAACCAAAAGAAATCCTGATACATATCATATATGTATTTATAATCTGTGTGTATGTATTTCTGAGGAGGTGAGAATTGACTGAACTAACTGGCCGTGAAAACAAGGGTCACCACAGCTGTATCTTAATAGAGTGTCTCAAATCGCTGTGGACCGGCTGCCAGAGACTCTCCTGGCCCTGCCCATTGCCATAGCAATTCTGATGCTCTGTGTGGATGTACCATAAAAACGCTAGTTTGAATTTCAAAGAACATCCCTTTGAACTTCTCCCTGCCTGATTAGGCACTTGCGTTGTGTGTGAATGTGTGCTCTGGGATGTTTGTGCGTGGGCGTGGGGTCTCTGAGAGGTTTTGTTCAGTGGGAGCTGAAGTGTGCTGGAAACCCCAGGGTGCTTTCACTGTGGTCCTCTATCCTTCCAGACCTGGAAGGTTTCTGTGATCATGGGTCTTGTTTTGGTACACTTCCGGCAGATGGGCAAGGAGGTCCCTGTTCTAACTAGATGGAAGCTGTGGATTGTTTTGTTTGCCTTGTGGTCAGCTTTCCCTTCCTCTAATTTAAGGTGATCACTTGGGAAATGAAATCACCTCTCCTGCCCCCTCCTCAAACATTGCATTTCTTAACCAAACTGGTACTTAAAAATAGTGGTGGCTGAAATTGAATCCCTCCTCCCATGTCACAGCACAGATAGTGAGGACAGATTAAAACATGTCTCCCAAAGCCTTCCATAAAATGAGAGACATCTAAATGTGAGATCTGCAAACAGTAGAGCTAGCTTGCAAGGCCTTCTGGGTCCTCTCTTCATTCTTCCCTGGGGTCATGGCACTTGTGTAGCCACCTCCAACTCAAGAGAAAATAATTCCTACTCTAGAGTTCTTTCCAAGTACCATAGGTTGCGCAGAACTTGGTGGGGCTGTTTTTGTTGTTGTTGTTTGTTTGTTTGTTTGTTTTTAAACCAAAGAATATTCGAGTGGGAAAAATATATAAACTACAAATAATCTTGTGTTTGAAGATCCTCCTGGCCTGGAAAACAAAGGTAGTTTTTGCAAAGGCCACATTTTGCAGAGGGAAGATGGAGTCTTTGATGATAGCCAACTTAGTGTCAGTAAGTGGCCTTCTTTGAGACATATTCAGATGGGAACGTCTTGCTTGCCAATTGCCATAGAAATCTTAACACACCATGAAGATTGTCCAAGAGCCAAGCCTTCCGTTCTGGACTAAATTACTTTGAAGTGGCGCAGGACGAGCAGTGGTCAATTTTAACTCTATAGACTGGACAGAGGACGCTGGGAGTGGGAGATTGTGCGTTTTAAAGCAGAAAATAAGAAGGGGAAACTTGTTTTATACACTCTATACAAGGTTCTGCGCATTGTCAGATATCTTTTATCTTTTATATTTCCCATGAATGATTCATGTCTTGGTGGCTTTGTGTCACCCTTCTTTTCACAAGAAACTTCATTAGAGAGCTATAAGTTTTCCCATTGATTGGAGCCCTCATTTACGAGTGTTTTTCTCCTTCGTGTGTGCTGGTCATTGTCATTGGGCTTAAAACAACTCTTGGCAACCTGTTCCACCTTCACTACATTTAACAACCTGACTTTTAAAAGCCACTATAACCTTTTGGAGAAATGCTTATTAACATTACTACCAATTGTTTTTAAAATACTTGCCTTTTATCAGTTTTGTATCAGTTAACATAAAAACAAGCAACCAGCCAACCTTGCTAGTGTGCACAGCCAAATATGTCAATTTAAACCACTTGAACATTTTGTTACCATGAAAGAATTTCTCAATACCTGCCTCAAACTGCTGGGCTTGTTACTTCTTATCCATTCAATCTCCAAAATAAACTAGAATAAAATTGTAGTTTGATTCTCCCCTTCCATGGCCCACTATGAGATAACTTGGTGCCTACATAGTTTTATGTTGTATCCATAATCAGCTCCTGTGAAGTTTTTCTGTCACCTTCCTATGTCTAGAAATTTCTTACTATCCCCCTTACTCTATTACTTCTTTTAAAAATCTTATATTTTTCCTTTTAGTTTGGTGGCTAGTCACCAAAGAAATTATCAAATGCACTTTCCACTGATTAAAGTCACTAAGCACATTACTAATTTTATCAAAGAATGCAATAACCCTGATATTTTTGCCACTGTACTTGCAAACTACAGAGATTAGTTTTCAAAAATATCTTGGATTTTTTAGATTAAACAATAAGCTGAGGCAACCTATCAATTAAAAAAACAAAACAAAACAAAACAAAAAAAAAAAACAACCCTGCTCCAGGACAAAATAAGAGCTCAAGGAAGGGCAATCTAATGTTCACTTCTTTAGCAATTGTTTTAAAAGATGACAGAGATACGCCATTGGATAAAATGTAGCAATACATAGGAAGAATACCTTTATTACATTTGTTACTTCATAATCATTCTTGCTTTCTGTTGGAGGTACACATTTTAAGCTTTTATTTTAGGTGTCTCAGGAACCAATATATCTGTGGCAGAGTTAACCTATGCATGGCAAAATACATAAAATACATATTCCTTTGTTTCATAATAAATAAACCTGTAGAATAAAGAATAGTGCAAACTACTATTGAAAAAGTTGTATAAATAAAACAACTCATTATACAACAGGAATATTTTGTCCTAACAAGTTTACGGTACATAAGTTATCCACCCCCCCCACTGCAATTCATATCTTATCTTTTCTTATTGAAAGGACTTAGAAAGTGAAGAATATGAAAATCAAATAAACTTTTAAACCATAGAGTTATTTTAAATTCAAGTTTTAGGTCTTTATCAAGGAGGGTCTGCATGTTTCATATTACTGTAACAATCTGAAGACAACATTGAAAGGCTTCCAAGTAACAGCACCATGCACTGTACTAGTAATATATCTATAAACTATATATAATCTCATCAACACAATGCAAAAAAGACATGCAGGAAGAGTCTTCATTTTTCACATTACGTTGTTCATTCAAGTAAGCGTAAAAATATATTTTCCCATTTTCTTTTCTCTTTTTTTAATCTTAAATAAACCATGGATCAGAAATCTTTCACCAAAATGTATAATATAATTCTTTGGTGTGCTTTGAACTCTTCCAGGAAAACAAAATGATGTCTGAAAATAAATTAATTCAACTGTACAAATAAAAGCATTCACATATAAGTTATTAACAATGACAAGACTACATCAACCACTCACAGCACACAAAACAAATTTCTACAAACCCTGGGGAAAGGGTGTCTTCAGGGTCTCTGGGGATAAATTAGTGCTCTTTAGTATATTTGTATGATGTTTCTGATGGACTACATTTTGCACAGGAGCTGTGTTGTACCAACTGAAAATAAACTGGCTAAGAGTTATTGTCCTAGGTCCTTGACCTTTTTTATCCCGGCTTGACAGCTCTGGCAAAGGTCACACATTCATCAGTGTTTAGTGGTAACTATAAACCCTTTAAAATTTTTAACATGTATAGCAATTCCCTCCCCTCTTTTAATGTAAATCATATACTTCACACTGTCATTTACAAATAGAAGAAGATTCGGTGCTCAGGGCGAAGATGGAAGAAAATGTAGTTCCAAGCATTAAAAAATAAAGACTTTTTAAAAAAGGTTGATATAGTAGTATAAAAGTGGGTTGGCTTGTTTAAAAAAAAAAAAAAAAAAGCTTAAATGGGAGGCAGAGGCAGGCGGATCTTTGTGAGTTGGAGGCCAGCCTGGTCTACATAGTGAGTTCCAGGACAGCTGGGGCTACAGGGAGACCCTTTTTCAAAAAGACAAAAAAAAAAGCTTTAAAAAAAAAAAAAAAAAAAAAAGGCATGATGCCATCCTCACACTTCCTCAGGCTTCAGTGTGCACGTTGGCATCCCAAAGAACTTATGGTTGAAAACACAACTCTTTATTACATGAAGTTGACACAGTCAGGAGTCAGCATCTGAAATTTCCAATTAAAAAAAAAAAAAAAAAAACCCACAAGAAAGGAAAAAGAAAGCACTTGCATTTCTCTTATTTTATAAAAGATCACAGTTGTTTATTGCGCAGCCTTTCTTCCTCTCCATTTCTGCTTGAATAATCACAGTAGCACAATCCATGGAGATATATTAAGGTTGCTGCACTTTGCTCTTTTTTTTTTTAATCACACAAGGAAAGATACTGAAGAAACAATCCTGTAGAAAAATATTGTATTATGGTGAGATCAGTAATAAAACCATAGGAATTAAAATTATAAATATTAGAACTTAAGGGTTTTTACAAAGACTTTTGGACACAGGCACAGTCCAGGATCTGTTGGCAATGCAGCAAGTGTGTGGTTTACAATCAAGAGGCCTTTGCAGAATTAGGGCCCAAGGTGGGGCTCAAAAGCAGCCCTCAGTATGGTATCAAAGGCATCTGAGGCACTCCGGGAAATGCAGAGGGCCTGGTTGCTGTGTTAAGTTCTGACTTAATGTTCTTTTTCTCTCCCTTTTATTTTTTTACCCTGTCTCAAAAAGACACACACACACACACACACATATATATATATATGTATATATATATATACATATATATATATACACACATACATATATATAGCATTAGCAGTATATATCTCAATCTCTCCACTTGTTTTCTTTGATACAAACTGCCCCCAGGCCTGTCCCTCTGCAATGTACAAGTCCAGCTTGTTGCTATTTGTTTGTTGTGTTTTTTTTTTTTTTCCAGTGCTAGAGATCTAACCCAGGGCCTCACAAATGCTAGGCAAGCACTCTACCACTGAGCTACATCCCCAGTCCTGTTTGTTTTTTAAAGAGGAAAGGGGAAAAAAGCCCAAATATCTTAATTAAATTAATTAAATGTATAAACACCATAGGGTTTCATACTGAATAAATAGGGCTAATTAGACCTGGTGGCAAGTCTGAGTCACCAGTTTGTCTCAGGCTTGGCATTGTCTCAGGTTAGGACATGGTCCAAGGACTCCCACTTATTATTCTCTTATTAATAATTCTAATGTATCGTCCGCACAACTTCAGGGTTCCCATACATTTCCTCATCTTCAGATTCAGAGGTGGTTCCATTGCTGGAAGGTGTGTGGAGGTGGCTGGGGGCCCCGCTGGCCTGGCAAACGTACCACTCATTGAGGTTGGTCACCTGAGGGGATAGGGTGCTGGAGCGACTCCTGGCTGGGTCCAGCACAGGGGACAAGGGGTCGCCCACCGGAGTCCCTACTGATGAGTAACCAAGGGCTCCTGGAGAAGGTGGGGGAGACTTGCAGTGAATCTTCATGTGCTTCCTCAGAGAGCTTGGGTGGGTGTAAGATTTGTCACAGCCACGAATCTTACAGTAGTAGGGCTTGTCGCTGGTATGGACATGGGAGTGTTTCTTTCGATCACTGCTATTGGCAAACTTCCTGTCACAGCCGACAAATTCACATTTGAAAGGCTTTTCCCCTGTAACAAAACACAGGAAAGGTTAACAATGGCTCTCCAGAGAGAAACCTTAGAAAAGAACTGGGGGTACAACTCTCCGCCTTAAGGAATTGCTATATGCTAGGCTGCAAGGGGATCAGATACTGCAAGGGCAGGCCTGAGTCCACTGGACTGGAGACTTTGCTTGGACCTGGGTTGTGAGGAGGCAGATGTAAGCTCCTGGAGCACCAGAGGGGTCAGAGTGAGATCTGAAGTGTAAAATCCAGGATGTAGCACTGAAGCCCACCAAGGACCTCCCCCTCCCCCTTAGGATAAACATTGACAACCATAGTTCCAAAGCCATAGTGGGGAATCTAAGAGGAGGAAAAAAATCATATATACTAAATTAACAGTAGCTTAGGGTACAGTGAAACAACAATGGCATTTAAGAATTTTCCTAGATTTCACTGATGGGAAGAAGCAGGAAACAATATGAAGTTGGGAAAGGAAAGGACAAAAACCAAACACTTCTCTCATTAGAAATAAAGGTACCTGTGAAGCACACAAACCCACCCTGAGATTTTACAAGGTGGCTGGGCAGAGATCAGACCACTGGCTTCTGCATTCTACCAGTATCCCCACACAACTCTAAGGTACATGAGCATGGCAGAACAGAACCTGAGCATACATGAGGAAACCAAACCCGCAGCCTTAGTAGAACCTGCCATCTCCCTTGTACCCTACAAAAATGGATGCTGACAGCTGTCTTTATTGTTAAATGATCAAAACCACTTAAAAAAAAAAAAAAAGGGTTTTGGCCTATCACCTCTCTGAATTTATCTAACAGCCCCAGAAATACAACTCCTTAAACACAAGGCCACTGGTCCAGGAAGTAAAACTGCTTAGTAAGAGAGAAGATAACCAGGGAAAGTCTAGGAACATTACCCTTTGGTATTAGCAAAAAGGGAAGACAGCAGATTAGTGTATAGTTGAGTTTTCCTCCCACCTGTGAGCTTAATGTATTCAAGTTCACAACTAAGTCACCCCATTTATACTGTTATAATATTTTCTTGTTCCATTGAGAGGATTTTGAAAAACCAGCAGCTACTGACGTACTAGACAGAGCATTTTTGTTTCTGGATTAATTTTTTAAAAGAAATAATAGGGTACATAAATTTCTGTGATCAATTCTCTTATTTTCTCCATACAAATATTTCCATTTAGTCTGCTTTTTGTTTCATGGTTCACCAATGATAGCTGGTTCAAAGCTGGAGTATGTTAGCGCAGCTGAAAGGTATTCAGGTGGCTGGAATGTATCTTTCCCTATTGGAAATACTGTTTAAAAATGAAATACACCTCATACATTAACCTCTAAGTAGAAGGGAGACACAAGTCACAGGGGTAATCACATTGTTTAAAAATTCTCAGTAGCTGAGTGCAATAAAACAAAGTTAATTTCTTCTTATCAAAAGGTGGGTGATTTGTCACGATTTCTGTATTATACTTTAAGTTGAAAGAAAGACTAATTTAACATAGCATTCATTTTAAATACATAGCATCAGTCCTTCTTCAGTACAGAGGCTTAAGTGGTTTTACTCATTCTATGTAAACGTGACACACTGTTCAGAATCTTCATGTTCCTGAACAGTCTACGTATCTCAGATTGGGAAAAATAAATGGTTTGAATATTCCTGGTTCCTCCATCATGATGGAGAAAGGGTAGCAAATAAGACCCAGTAAAGGAGCTAGGGAGTGGAAAGAAAGGTGGAGGTTAGGGATCAAGGACAGGTGGAGGGAGAGAGGAAGCTAGTTCTCCCAAATAGCCCATGCTGCTTGGGGGCCTGGGAGGACTTAACTAGAAGAGCTGGGTGACCCCAGTGTTTACACATCAGATACTGACAAGAGGGGTCATGTCAGAATTGAACTATTTGAGAGTTTGGGAGACTTGGTGCCTGTTAGAGAGAGCTGTGTGGATATCATCCCGGCCTTGCCAGTCCTCTCTAGCTAGCCAGACACAGGTTATAAATGCAGCTGAGGGCACGTGGGTCAGGAAACAGGCCTTCAGGAGTGGCCTGGGGATTAGTCCTTTGATCACTCTGTTCTGGGATCCCAGATAACCCCCCCAAAGGGAAGGCAGTGTGGAAGGGAGGAAGTCGAGATGGTCGCTCTCTGGACACAATGCTCAATGGCTCAGAAAGGCCCGGGACAGCCAAACAGCAGGTATACTTAATCCAGTGGTGCCAGCATCCCTCCTGGAGGAACCCTACGACGCCACAGGAAGTGTGTGGGGGGGTAAGGGGGTGGAAAAATGTAACCATCCACGCTGCGAGGAATCAGGGGAGGTAAAAAAAAAAAAACATCGCAGGTCCTCCAAGTCTTGCTCCCACCCATGGGGTTCAGTGGGCAGCCCATCCCAGGAGGACTCGAAAGCTACGACGCAGGTCAGTTTTTCCTAGCTCAGCTGCCAGTAGCCTCGAGGGTAAGGTTCACACCGCACCCCACCTCCCACCCCCGAGGCCTGGGAAAGTCCAGAGAACCCAAAGGCTTTTCACGGACTTTAGAAGTTCTCTTTGGCCCTAGCTCCGTGGGGGAAGTGCGAGCTCGATGCATGAAGCTGGCTTAACCAGCCAGGGTGTTTTTATGAGAGTCTTGTGGGAAGTTTCCGTTTGGAAAAATCATTAAGCAGGATTGATCCCCATTAGGGAAGGGAAAGAAAAAAAAATGAGGCCTCGAGGGAAAACGTGCTTCCAAGCCGTTCCTGTGCCGGTCCTCCAGGGAGGCCTGTGAGATCAAAGGCCTGGGGTGTCAGCCTGAGGACGCCTGGACGCCGCTGCTACTGTAGAGCCCCTAAGGCCTAGGGCCGGCTGGCCCCGCATAGGGGCCCACGCTCCGGGCTGCCTCTTCGTCCCTGCCGCGCCGATAAATCAGTCAAGTGATTACTGAATGTAAACTCTGGTTACTTAAGTGTCCTCGGAGGGGTAATATTGTCTATCCTATAAATCCTGACTGCTCGCGCTCCGCAGCGCTTCAGCCCGACGCGATCATCCTTTCAGACTCGCCACACCACCCACTGGGACCACCCCTCCTCGGTCCCACGCCTCAGCCACCCTCATCAGGGCCATGGTACCCCTGAAGACAGAACGTGGGGTGTAATGGGAAGAGTGTCCCTACGAAGTTGAGACTGCTTCCCAAGTTCCATAGCTGGGTAGGCCTCACGATCGGGGAAAACATCCTCCCCCGCCACCTGCAACTTGTTTAAGAGGGCAGAAGCCAACTTGTCCGGCAGCTAGTCCTCTAGCGCCTGGTGAGATGTGTGAGTCGGTGCATGCGGGTGTTTAAATGAAGTGCCGAGCGCGGATATACATGAAGGGAGGTCATGGTGTCACGTGTGTGTGTGTGTGTGCGTGTGCGCGCGCGCGCGTGTGTGTGTGTAGGGGGGCATGAATGTGTGAGCTGGTGTGAGATGCGTGTACGTGAAACTTGTATGAGTGGGGTGTGTTGAGTGTGTGAGTTCGTGTAAATAGCCGGACATCTCCTGAGGCCTTACAGGGTGCTGTGCTCTCCTCTGGCCTTCCTCGCCCGGTCACGAAGGTACAGGGACCCCTCTTCCCGCAGAGGGGCCACACTGATGGGCCCCCAAATCGCAGCTAATCCCACTAAGAGCCCCTCCCACGTCGGATCTCCGCATCACAGCGACAGCGCGGGGCCCTGTGATCGCTGGAGAAGGCAGGCGCCGCCGGGGGTGACCCGAGCCCAGGGTCCCCTTCCTTAAGGCCCTCCCCGACCTCCCGGGGGCCGGGCGGGTGGGGGCTGCCGACCGTCCTGGGCGCCTTCCTGCTCCTGCTGCTGCTTCTGCTCCGGGGCGGTGGCGGCGGCGGCGGCTGGAGCGCTTTGCCGGTCCCGATGGAGGGGCTGCGGGCGCGCTGGAGACTCCGCCGGGTGGGAAGCCAGCGCGGTGCCTGTGTGTGCTATCGAATTACTTATTCATAGAAAAAAAGGGGGGAGAGAGAAAAAAAGGAGAAGTCACATGTCCGGGTTATACGTAGGCGAAGCGAAGCAGCAGGAGGGAAAAATGAAGGCGAGCAAGAGAAGGCGAAGCAGCGGCGGAAGCGGCGGCGGCGCAGGAGAGGCGGCGGCGGCGTGGCCGGGGACAGACACCCACCTGTATGAGTGCGCTTGTGGATCTTGAGGTTCTCGGAGCGCGCGAAGACCTTGCCACAGCCCGGGAACGGACAGGGGAAGGGTTTCTCGCCGGTGTGCACGCGGATGTGGTTGATGAGCTTGTATTTGGCTTTGAAGGGTTTGCCCTCGCGTGGACAGTCCTCCCAGAAGCAGACGTGGCTGCTCTGCTCCGGGCCGCCCACGTGCTCCACCGTGACGTGGTTCACCAGCTCGTGCATGGTGCCGAAAGTTTTGGAACAGGGCTTGGCGCCGCCGGCCGGGGGCGGTGGCGGCGGCGGCCGGGCCAGTTCCTCCGGGTCGATCCACTTGCAGATGAGCTCCTGCTTGATTGGCTGCCGCATGTAGCGCAGGAAGGCCCCGGCTGCCCCCGGGAGGTGGGGGTGGTGCTGATGCGGGTGCTGCGCGGGCGCTCGTGCATGGTGCCGAAAGTTTTGGAACAGGGCTTGGCGCCGCCGGCCGGGGGCGGTGGCGGCGGCGGCCGGGCCAGTTCCTCCGGGTCGATCCACTTGCAGATGAGCTCCTGCTTGATTGGCTGCCGCATGTAGCGCAGGAAGGCCCCGGCTGCCCCCGGGAGGTGGGGGTGGTGCTGATGCGGGTGCTGCGCGGGCGCTGGCGGCGGCGCCGGGGGCGGCGCGTGGTGCTGCATCCGCCGCCGCCGCCAGGTTCAGGTTTAAGTTCACCGCTCCGTAGCCGTGCAGGGCGGCGGCTGCAGCGGCCGCCACCGCCCCGTAGTGCGCATCCCCGGAGCGCGGAGCAAAGGGCGGCTCGGCGCGGCCGTACAGCTCGGCCGCGGCGGCTGCAGCCGCGGCCGCCAGCCCCAGGCGCATCTGGCCGTTGAGGGGGGGTGGGTGACCGCCAGGAGCCCCCGGAGAGTCGTGCAGCGCGGGGAAGAGCGCCGAGCCACCGCCGCCGTCCGGGCCCGCGTAGGTGCCGCTGGCGGAGATGAACATACCGGCCGAGTGGGGAGGCGGGGCCGGGTGCTGGGGGGAGCTGGTGCCGGACCGCTGCTCCCCTCCGAGCGGGGCCCCGTGCATGGCCGCCGCGGGGGCCGTGGCGGAAAGGTCCCTCCGGAGGACGAAGTCCCTGCTGTGGTCTTTGCCGCTGCTGCCGCCGCCGCCACTGTTGGTGGTGGTGTAGCCCGAGAGGGCAGGAGGAGGAGGCGGGGGAGGGGGTGACGGGGAGGGAGGAAGAGGAGGGGCTGGAGGCGGGGGGGCAGAGACCTGCGCGCCACCGCTGCCCCCGCCACCGGGGAAGGTGCGGGCGCCTGGGTGCGCCACTGAAGCTGCGGTGCGGGCGGCAGGCACCGGAGTCTCGGCCTGCGCCGGGAGCGCCTGGGAGGGAGGGCTGAGGCCCTGCACACTAGCCTGGGCCATGTGCTCCACGAGCGGAGTGATGGCCACGCCGGGGTCAGCGCCTAGGTCCGCCGGGTGGAGATGCGCGGCGGCGGCGCGGAGTTGGGAGTGGGCGGGCGGGCCGGCCAGCACCGGGAAGCCTGTCATATTCGGAAGCGGTTGGGCCTGAGCCGTTGCCAAATCCGCTAATCTCAACGCTGGCGGGTTCCTCTTGCTCAAAGGGGGCTCCATCATAACTATACAATCAGGCCCATAGTCCCTCACTGGGGGGACTTTTTTTCCTCTGCCCGCCTTCAAAAACATGTATATATTAGGCGCTCTTTAACTTCTTTTGTCCTGGTCTCCTAACTGCTTATTCCTGTCCCCACTCTATCCTCCAGCGATTGGCAGAGTGAACACCACATTTGAGCTGCACAGTGGGACCGAGTTTTGGGAAATAGCACGGGTGGGATTGGAGGGAGCTGCGTGATTGGCAGCAGTGTCGCCTGCCCGATTGGCTCCTGTTCAGGCTCTCGGCCCAGCGGGGAACCGCCCCCGTGCTCGCTACCGCCTGCGCTTTCACTTCGTGCCCCCTCCTCCCCAGGAGCTCGGCGTCTCCGCCTCCCCCGGGATGCCCAAGTTGCACTTGGAGAAAGTTTATGCCTGGCCTGCGCGCGCAGAGCCCGGCGTTCTGTGGACGTGCCTCGCGTAGAACGTCTGCTAGCACGCGGTCAGAGTGCACCCAACTGCGAGGCGTCAGGGACCTCCGCATCAGGGGTAAAGCTGAGGAGGGGGGCGGAAACCCTCGGAGCGAATCACCAGAACTCTTTCTGTCTCCTGTCTTGGAAAGTGTCCTCTCAGGATAATAAAAAGGTGTCCTGCCATTGTGTTGATGCCAGAAACTTCTCGTAAGGACCGGGTCTGCCCTAGGGCCCATCTGGGGTACAGGCAGGAGGTGGAATTGGTACTATTAGTAAAGTGTATTGGTTGCAAAACAGCTCGAGTATTGGAGCTCTGCAAAACACCACGGTTAAGTCAAAGTAGTATAAAATAAATCTTTCCCTCAAGGAAATTCGTCTTACTTCGGCTTTTTAGTTCACAGTGCCTCTCAACATGATTCAAAGGAGTTGGCTCGAAATGTTACCTCGCTACTTATCGGTTCTAGATCTGCCACTTCCAATTAGATTTACGGGAGGGGCGGGGCGGCGGGAATGCGGAGCGTCCTGGCTTAACTTTTGCCTTTTGGAGACCCAGCAGCCAGGCAGGCCGAACGGAATCCCGTTCCAGAAGCCGCCGAATAAGCGATGTACTTGAGCAGAATCTCTCCTTCCTGCTCAGAACGCACTCCATATATGTGCCTCAGTTTCTTTGAAGGACCATAAATTAGAATAGACCCAATAAAATATTTTAAGATCAAAAAGTATCTTGCCTATTAATAGAGTAAGCTTTCAACTTCTTAAACTGAGAAGTCATGCTTGAAAAATCATAAAAACTAGAATTTTTCCTCTGTTTTTAGTGAATGCCATCCTTGTCCGTCCATTTGCTACCAAATCAAATTTTAGAAACAAATGGGTCCCTGCATCATTTTTTGAGAGGGGCGACAGGGAAATGTGAACCCCCCTCCCATTAAATAGGAGTGTCAATCCCAAAATGTCATTTTAGTTTTTTAAATGAAAACATTTAAAAATTTTGTAATGCTCTAAAATGCTCAAACTGGATTAAAAATGATTTGTTCCCTTCAATAAAATTATCCATAAAGTAGCAATATGAGTAGGATATGTCTTCCCATATCCGAGGGTGGGGGTGGGGTGCACAAGAACATGTTCCAGCTTATTTCGTTTGCAGTTCGAGTGAAGAAAAAAAAAAAAAAAAAAAAAAAAAAAAAAAGCCGTCATTGGGGTCATAGTCCTAAAAGGAAATAAATATTTTTCAAAAGCGTTGATTTGCTAGCACCATTGACTTTGGTGTGAACCGTGCTGCAGGAAGCAGCTCCCTATGAACCTTGGGAATTGTCATTTCTCTTATAAACTGACAAGCAAACAAAGACCATCATGCCAGCACATTTCAGATCCCTTTTTATCTTAGTTTAAATTAAGTTCGAATATAGAGAAAATTAAAACGGCATGAGTGGAAACAATGAAAAAAAAATTAAATAAGCAGTGGTGACAAAGTCCACATCTGTATTTGGAGAGGACGGATTCTTCCACGATTTTTGTTTCAGACTTAAAACATCCCAAACCAAACATGAAAAGGTCGATGGAAAACTGTGGCATCCTATAGATGGTATAAAAAGGAAGCGTCACACTGAAAATTATCACCACTGTCTTCGTTTCCTCTAAACAAACATTTCAAATAAATTTCCTTTATTTGAATTTCTTGGCAATGAATGTCCATACTTGCAGTAATGGCAGCTTTGAGTTCATCCTTTAGGTTATAAGCAAAACCCCAAAAAAGTGAATAAAGAAAATAGGTATAACCTAGTTTATAATATAGACCATTGAGCAATTTTATTGTGCAATAAAAAGGGAACCTCCGCCCCCTTCAAAATAGCTTTTCCTCAAAATTATAACTGCTTTGTTTTATTGAATTGCTGAAATTTAATGGTTTAATGGGTGGAGGCATGAAGGAAAGGCTGTAAAAAAACGTGAATAATGCTACACAGAGCTGTGTGGAATCTGGAACCCGCCTCCTTGTACAACTCTTGTTAAACACAGCGTGATATGTATCTGTCATCTATTTAATATGTCTTAATTCAAATATAGCTCCCTGATCAATTTCTTTTTATGGAAGCCTTAAAAAAAAAGACTTTCTTAGGAAATAACAGAGATTTGGGTGGTGAGTGCAAAGAGGGATATTTACAAAGTGAGTTTAATGAATATTGCAAATTTATAACCAAACCCAGACCCTAAAAAGATAATTGACTCAGGTAAATCGACTTGAGATGCTAATTTTTAAAAGAAAGGACTGGGAGCAAAATTTCAATCAACACCAATAAGGCGCCAATAAACCGCCTGCCAATTAAACCTGAGAATAGGCCTCGCTACTTGGGCATCAGGAAGGCTCGCAGTGGATTTCCGGGATTGCCTTTCTTTATAAAAGGGCTTTTTATTTTGTAGACGCGCTTTTTGTTATTGTGATGACCTGCCTGACCCCAGGTGCGTAGTTTCTTTTTCAAGCTATTTGGGAGCCAAATCAAACTCCTTTAAAACCCGACTTTCTAAGGATCCAATAACTGTGTCACACTTCCTAAATAAACACCAACAATTTCCAGGGCGTTGAAGAGCATAATGTGCTGGTTTCAAAAGCAGAGGACTAGAGATGCCCTGCTAATTCCTCTTCTGTGGATTTAGACCCGTAAAACGATGGTGGAGCTGGTTTTGGTCACCGAGGCCACATCCCAAAACTCAAGCCTGGTCTGCACTATTCACTGCAGAGGTCCTTGTGTGGTGGCAGAGTTGTAGCAAGCCTTGGAAATGACGGTTCTGGAGTCAGCAAGGGACTCTGAGGGCCTTGGATTTACAGACCTCAATGTTGCCCCATGAACCCCAACCTCCTCCAGCCCCTAAACAAAGGAGGGAAGTTGAGGGGTGGGGTGGAAGGCACAGTCAACTCCCAGATGGCCGGAACCAGCAGCCACGCTCCAGCCTAGCAGCCTAGAGGCCACAGAACCCGGTGTCTGGGGATGCAGTCGCTGGTGCTTAAGGCTTCCTGCTGCCGGGAGGGAGGGCTGCAGCTCCTAGCTCCAGGTGCCCTCCGTGCCTCACTTAACACAGCCAAGTTTCCTACGATGGGTGTGGGCAATTAATAAACTCTAAGGGAAGTGAATTGGACATTTCCTGGCTTTTGAGCCTTTGTTTGATTGTTTCTGCAGGCGGGCGGGCCAGGGGCACTTGGGGATGGTGGGATGGACAAGAAAGGAGTTTGGGGACCCACCGAGCTGTCTCTTTATTGCCCCTGCAATTGCTTTACGACTCGCTAGTCCCGCGTGGTTTCTGAGAGGCCAGCCTCCTTACAGAAGGGCTGGGTGCAGTACGGATTTGTAGAGTCTAGTGCCATTTGGGTCGAGCCAGAGGCGGGTTCAAGGGCGAATGAGGCATACAGAACTCCTAGGGAAAGACCGTTGAAGTTGGGCCGGAGTACCAAGGAGTGTTTAACCCAGGAGGGGTGGAAATGGCTAACAGCCACTAGGATAGTGGAGAGGTCCACTCAGACCTCCATACTAGTCGGAGCCAGAAGGGCAAGGAGGCCGGCAAACCTTTATTTTAGCGGAGCTTTGTCAGAGCCGGAAGTGAATGGAGACTACGGTTTCAATGGGTTTTACCAAATCAGGTTTACTAGGTCTAGGCAGCAAGGTCGGGAGTTGACTCTCCTGGCCCCATCCGTCTCCATCCTCTCCTGCCATGGACCAGATTCTTCATGATCGAGTCCTTGCCGTTCGAGATCTGGCCCGCGTGGAAGCTACGACTGGGCCCAAAGGCCTTGGGCTCAGAATCATCTTGAAATTAGCGCCTAAGGACTGCCTTTTTCTCAACCCCTGGACTCCTGCACAATCCTCGGCCTCCACAGATATGTGTGGGGCGGAGGGAGCCCAAACTGTATTTCATGCTAAAGTTTATGATCCCCGTGGCACATGCACGGACTTAATGGGGACAGGAAGGCTAAAGTTACCTCTATGCTCCAAGAGACTAAGGTGCTGGATTCTGGGAGGAGGATTGTTTCTCTCCAAGCCCTTTGGATAGTCAAAACTTGGACCCATCCTAGTCGACTTGACCTTTGTGGTTAAAAGCTGTTGAATGATCTATTCACTTTTCCACCACTAAAGAATAAGTTTATTCTTACAGACACAAATTCTGTCTGTGGTCAAATATTTCAATTTTATTCTAAATAATTTTTACACTCTGAGATAGGGGTTGCTAGAGAAAGGCCTTTGACCTATATTTGACCATTAGAATAGTTAGTTAGTTTCTTAAGAAACACATCACTGTGCTCAGAAGGTCCAAGCAAGAATCACAAAACACCCTTACAGGGTCAAGGTTCACACAACCACACAATATTTATTTATATTGGCCCCAAGATGCATTTCTCTTCATTACTTATGCCTGAACAGGAGATGAAAGAGGAGCAAGCAGAAGCTTCAAAGTATTTTTTATTTCAAATTTTGGGGATTGGTTCCCTGCCCCAACGCCCCTTTCAATATCTTTCACTTCAATATTTGAAGAAACTGTTGAGATAAATCAAATAGTGACACACTGATGGATTTACTTGTGTAAGCAATATGGTTGACATATGGCATTGTTATTTATGAATGACAGCATAAATTATATTCCAAAGTCTATTGCAATAATA